TGTGTTTTTGTTTTTTCGAACTGGAACTGTCGTCGTCAAAATATGAGTTTTGTGACCGATCATCCCCAACACTAATGAATTCCGACTGTTCTCGATGATTACTCGTACCTTGAAACTGAATGTGATATAAATAATCATCTATATATAATTAACTGAAATACTGTCTAAATTTGTATTAATTTAATCCGTTTCTAATATTTACTGTGAAGGAATGGTTTACATTTAGTAACGAAACGTCTTAAACACAACTTCTTTTACTCGTTGGGATCTAACCCAAATTATATTTATCACCATTTTATCAAGTGTCTCACATCTATTTCACATGGACAAGTGATCTAATTAATTATTCAAGAGCATCAATTGTGTCAGGATGTGAACAAAACTATGCAATTGGTGATCATATAATTGAACGGTGTGGAAAAGTGTGGAAGGAAAATGGGAACAGTAGATGAATTATCGATGAGTTTTGGTAGTGAAAATTATTGCGAGAATGAAATCTTATAGTTACTCAATGAACTTGTTGAATACTCTACAGATGAAAATGTGCACAACCATAACTGAATGTGGTTAGTTCGAAATGACGATGAATTTCCATATTATGGACAAAATGATGATGTTGTATACGAAATGGGATGGTGACTGTGTAGAACAGTACGTGATTGAATACGTGTTGTGTTAGTCGGACAATGAACAATAACTAACTGTTTAGAGGAGTGAATAATGTGTGCTCGATAAAGAGGAGAAGACAATGGTCTAGTTATTTGTTTATCTTTTTCGATAATTACCTTGTAAACAATCATTCACAATGGAATGTATCATTATTGTGAATAGAGGATGTAGTAATATTTCATCATTATACTTACTCATGTAAACAACATGTATCGAAATTTGTATGAAATGAAATTCTTGTTGTTGACTAAACAATGTTAACATGTGAGTAATGTGGTAGAGAAATCGGAAGGATATATTATTTGTGGGAGAGCGTGTGTATGTTACAAGTGAGATTATTGTTGTTGAAGTGATTGAAAATGTATTGGAAGTGACAATTCGAGATGTGCTAGTCTCATTTATTTCATCATTAACACAATTCGATTTGAATTTTGGCAACTGATTTTGAGTTGGATCGTTCGTGTTGATTGGAAGTTATTATGGTGAACAGTCCAGCCTGATGTGTTCCAACATCTATTGACGGTGAATATTTATGCATGTTTTGAGAGCTGTTGTTTATATCACTCATGCTATTGGAAGTGGACACATTCAATCGTTTTATTCTGCTAACATTTGGTTAGTTATGCTGACAAAGTAAAATGCTACTTCTTTTCCTTGATTTATATTAACATTGCTCAACTGCACACCTCGATTCGTATGTTTCTGCATGAATCTCATTGAACTGTTATCATGCAGCTGTAAATTTGATCTGTATATGAATTAGTGTATGAGTAAATGTTCGAGACTGTGGAATGGTTTACAGCAATCTGTCCATCGATTCAAAAACACCACCATAATTTGATGGTCACATCGTTGATCATTTTTCCACACCGAATTGCATTTACATGCATGAACTGACTGTTTACGTAGAATCCTAAATGAACTTGACAGAACTGTTTGAAAGCACTTGTTTAGTTGAACCAGTTAAATGTGTTCTTTTAACATATTTGTTTTAACGGAGTCACTACAACGACCGATTCTATTATTTATGTGTGAAATGGTGGATTTACATATTTTGTATGGAAGAATGGATTAATGCGCATGATTGGAATCCATTGAATTTACCTACAATTATTGAGGTAGTGAGAGATAGCGAAGAAATGTAATTGCATCATTTGCATCATTGTAAGTGGAATCGATTGGAATTAGTTGATTCACTTATCCATTTTCACCTGTTTCCATCTCATAACAGTTATTTACATTGTTCAGTGTATATTGTATTAGGTGACCAAATTTGTTAATAATGTTGATAATGTGCGATCAATGTGATATTGTGTGTGTTATGGTATATTTTAGGCGGTGTGAATGATAATATAGTAGTGTGTGAATTTATCTCACACATCGTATAAGTCGGATTTTGTTGTGACAAATGAGTGAACGGTGATAGATTTGTTGTAAATGTACGAGTATTGACGGTGATGGTGATGGTGATGGTCTCTATGAATTGGGTATTTGGTGTCCTACCTGTTTCTATTATCAATCTAACCGAAGTATGAATTGCTGGATACAATCGATTTGTTGACGGAATGATGGTGGTTTGTATTTGGACTGGATGTATGTTATGAGATCAATGTTTCTGTGAATGTTGGATTAATTGTTCTGGAAAATGAGCGTAATTGAAGTGTGAATTTCGAGATTGGTTCAGTCGTCTTATTCGTGTAATTCACTTCTAAATAAAACGTAGTAAACGGTTGGTCATTTTCCTTCTTTGTGTACACTTTGATTTACTGAACGTGTCTGTGTGGACATAGTCAATATGATGAGTGTAGGAATGGTGTTTAATACCTGACAATCTGTTCTCTTTGAAACTTTCAATTCACACATTCATTCAATTCCGTATGTGTGCAGTGATACTATTCTGTTGTCTGAAAGACTTTTTCCAATATGGTGGTTGGTGACATGAGTCAATTTAATTTTGCATGAGGATCGATGAAAAGTCAACGAAATCAGTTGACGACATACATCATCATTGGAGCTGTGTGGTATGTACGATATTGTGTTGATGTGTTCATTGGTCCTTAAATTAGTGCTTGTCATTTAGTTGATGAAAATGATTGGAAATTGTAGATAATTAGTGGATGATATTGAGGAACCAAGTTTATCTTTAATAATCACAGAAATGTATATTTGGATGATGCTGCAATTGTCACATTAGTTATCAATTAATATTTCATGACTTTATTATGAAGAACTCCACATTTGAGGAGAATGTGTGAGTGTAATGTACAGTTTGTATGAAACTAGGTGATTTGATCTTCACAGAGGACAAAGCGACATTTGATATGGAACTCAGGACAACAGTCAAATCGCGCGCGAGACCGATAGGTCCTTGGTTCGAATTTCGCAAGCCATTACCGTGGATGCGCACTGCTAAGAATCTCCATACTAAGACGAAAGGGCCATCAAGTGCTTTTAGGTTTTCCTTTGTGGTCTAGCTTCAGTTGACTCATGACCTCAACTATTAAAAATTGTTATGGTATCCACAAAACCCCTTCAGTGCCTATTTATGTTCAACTTCCTCTGCATCTAATATACTTACTTATTTACTGTTGCCTGTTTCTCTCAATGGAGCGTAGGCTGCCTACCAGTATTCTCCGACCCACTCTGTCCTAGGACTTCCTTTCCCGTTCTACTAAATGTTTGTTTCTTTTTTCTCATGTCTGTCTCCATTTCTCGATGTAATGTGTTCTTTGGTATTCCACTCTTTCTTCGGCCTTGAGGATTCCATGTGAGGGTTTGCCTTTTGATACGGTTGGGTACTTTTCTCAATGTGTGTCCTATCCACTTCCACCACTTCTTCCTGATTTCTTCTTCCACTGAAATCTGGTCTGTTCTCTCTCATGGTAGGTTGTTGTTGATATTGTCTGGTCAAGGGATTCAAAGTATTTTATGTAGACAACTGTTGATAAACACTTGTATCTTGTGGATGATGGCTTTTGTAGTTCTCCAAGTTTGCGCCACATATAGTGGAGCTATCTTGACATTTGTATGGAAAATTCCGACTTTTGTGTTTTTTGACAGACAGTTGTTTTGATTTCCAGATATTTTTCAATTGTAGATATCCTACTTTTGTTTTATCGATCCGCGCCGTCACATCTGCATGTATCTAATGTGGTTCACTACAATATTTTTGATTCTGATAACGATCAGTGAATATCCTTTTTATTTATTTATTTATTTTAACACATAGATATTGGTACAAGGAGGCACCAAATGCATATGCACCACACAGATCTCATTTAATTTGTGTGAGGGTTGTGATACTGCCCAGGTGCTCAAACAGAAGCAGGTGGTTTTCCTAGGGGGCCACACCTGGAGCCTTCGATCTAAAGGTCTGATCCACAAGGCAGTGGAGCATCGTGAGGAGATGCAGTCCTACGGAAGCCGATGACCAACTATTGATTCATACGCCATTTGTTGCTTTAGGATATTGGAGCCCATGTTCACCACTGATTTGGAATCAGGGTTTTCCAACTACCCTAGGTGGACTCTCCGTGTCCATTAACCCGGTTTCAAGCGCCGGACATTCGCTTTTCATCCCCTCAATTTCGTAAACAACATCGTGGCCCTGAGAAGGCAATGAGTAGGACTTCCCTGGCAGAGGCTATATACGCATGGCCATGTGAGAGTATTTCAAGAGGGTGAGCGGATTCTCCTCACTCTTCGCCGTACCAGGGTATTTGAGGGCTTTAAATTCATATTCTATAACTAATAGTTCTTATCAAAGATCCTACAACGCCATAACTTTCCATTATATGTATTCATTAAAACATCAAGAAATAAATATATTTCCCAACAAAAGAAATTTTGTTGTTGTGACTATTTTCATATCTATTGGGAAATAAAATATAACACACAAATAGATCGTTAGACAGACAGACAGATGGATAGAGAGACAGACAACATATAGTGTTTGTTCAAAGCATACAAACAAACTTACTGGAACTATGAATAATATGAATAACCAACAAGTTCCCCAAAAATGAGAAGTTTATTATTATTACCCGTTATGTATATATATATATATGTGTCTTATGATTGTTTGCATGTTTACCCTTTATAAGGTCAACAATAATAATAAACAATTTGATTGGTTAAATGAATATCATTTGGGAAAAAAAAATTCAAAAAAAAAGAAAAAAATTTCCACCTTCACTGAGTATAAAGAAAAATTAAAATAACAAAGGCATTGAAATAAACACTATTTGATCTTATCATTATAACATTATACAATTGTATTATATATGCTTAATAATATTGTGGATCACATTTAACATTGATCATTTAATAATATGGATAATTATGAAATAACTGATGATTTTGAACGATTTTGTCATATAGCACAACGTTCACCAAGAGATAGTTTAGCACCAACAATACAAATAATTGAACCAACTTATCGTGGAAATAATATAACACCTATTAATCAATCAGAATATTTATCAACATTAAATGTGGAATCATTAAAACGTGCATCAAGTTTTAGAGAACCTAAACGACGTAAATCATTTCAACCAAGTAGTTTTAGTGGTGAAATTAGTGCAACTAGATCACCAATTAGATCTAGTCCACAATGGGATCCATCAAATGAATTAAATCAATTTAATTATAGACAAAAACAACAACAACAACGTTCTCGTTATTATAATAATGAATCAAATGATACAAATGTTTTACGAACTAATGATAATACACAAAGATATTGGCAAAATTTAGATACAAGTCGTGAATCTTCAAGTCCTTATTCATGTTCTCCAGCAATGTATAGACTTGGTACTACTCGTGATAGACCAGGATCTATGAAAGAAACTAGTTATAAACGTACAAGAAGTCAAGAAAAACATAAATCAAGACCATCGGCTCCAACATTACATCCAACAAATCATCCATTCTCTCAATATTCACCTAGTCGTCATTCAATCAGTCAGACAGATGAACAAATGTTACGTGTTCGACGTTTTGAACGAAATAAACATGGTGATGTTATTAGTAAAGGTGATCGAGATGTTCCACAGATAGAGATATTTGCATCCAGGAGTCCATCGGGTGATTCACGAGGATCAGTAGTTTATCCACGATCAATACCTGAAAGTAGTCAAAATCTCTCTGAATCATCATTAAGTGATGAAGTAATTGAGATCCCGGCAATCACTACAAATTTGGCTAGTTCACCAAGAGCTTCAAATGATGGTTTACTTAAAATTTACAGTAAGCGTGCAAGTAGTCCAGTTAGAGGATTTATACCGGAGACTAGACTACGTTCTAAATCATGGGCAATTGTAACAGAAAGTCCAGATAATTCACCTAATAAATTAGAATCACCATCTGGTGGTGAACTATTTCTAGATGATCGTTTACTTCAAGTTCAAGTAATTGGTACAGCCAGAGTTGGTAAGACAAGTATGTGTATGCAATTTCATACTTCAGAATCAATTGAAGATCCTAATGATTCAAGTAAGTTATTTATATATGAAATATTTTATTATATTACAAACCGATCTAAGTCAGATAAGCATTGAAAACCCGAAGGCAACATACCACAGTTTCATATTAGTATAGGACCCCATAATAGTTCGGATCCACGACCACAGAGCCGAGAACCGAACCCAGGACCTATGGCCTCGCGCAGAATTGTCTAACCTTTCAACCGCTGAACGTCTGGATATGGGACTGAAAATCCTGAATCCTATTTCCAGTTGTCTGGTCGTGGACGGGCACTACTATGGAGCCCAATACTAGGATATCGCTTCCAAATCATTGTGTTCTAATCTAGTTGTCCCATTTAAGTCTCTTTTTGATACAGTACTACTTTCATTTATCGATCGTAAGGTTTATTATTGTACATTTGGTTCTAGAAATACTGACACAACATACAGTCTACATTCGTTTTAACATATAGTTTAGCTAAAAATCCTGTTGCTTATAGCCAGAAATCGTTAGTCATGGGAAAATATAGATTTAAGAGGGAAACCATGTGATTTCTTTTATTATTTAACCATTATACTATCGTAGTGAACAAGAACACCAGTGGGGACAGTTGAATGTATTCGAGTACAAAATTACAGAGTATCTCAATAAAATCTGAGAACCATGTAGTAAATCGTTAATTTGCAAAATGTCAATCCGTCATATGAAACTTGAATGTTTCTGTTGCAGACACCAATCCATTGTCTCAGATTTCATTGTGCATGCGTTTTCATACCAATTGCGTTCCGTTCTCGTTCTTTCCTCATCGACCTTCTACTGAAATACATTCTATGCCTGACCACCGTTATATACTACTTGTGTGGTTATAAGTATCCCACACCACATTATCGTGATTATGTAATAATCTTCGTTCTCATATTATTACACGGTATTGTTGAGTAACTAAGCCCATATTTTGAAACTTGACAAAATAGAAGAGTTAAAAAACACTTTCTTTTTAATGTTTCATTTTTTATTGTATTTTACGTTGTTTCGTTTTTGAGTTACTAGTCAATTTTGAATTAATTAGAAGTTAAGCTTTCACAGGTGATACCAAATATTTTGTGTTGAATTTCCGCGTAAGAGATCGTGAATAAGCATTGGTGAGAACTCCCCATGTATCTGATCTCTGAAATGGATATTGCATATTTGATTTAGAGAATACAATTGGGAGTTTTATATGTTTGTGACGATTGTCTCTCATTCCCTGACAGTTAGTCAGTTAAGATAATCATCATAATACAAGATCAGAAATTTTGATGAAGTAATTTACTAAAACAGTTGAGTAATGTATTTACAAATGCTTCCTTTCATATTAAAATAGATTATAGTTGTTTGAAGTTAGATATTAACATTGTTGGATACCGGCCAGCTCAGTGGTCTAGTGGTTAAGTGCTTGCGCGCGAGACCGAGTGTCCTGAGTTCGAATCTCGCGAGACGGGATCATGGATGCGCACTGCTTAAGAGTCCCGCTCTAGGACAAGACGGTCATCGAGTGCTTCCAGGTTTTCCATGGCGGTTTAGCTTCATGATCTCAACTATTGAAATTATTACAATCTTCACAAAACCCCTGATAAAAAAATACACTTTATAAAATCTAACAAATAACTAACTTCCTTTTGACGGAGTTTTGTTCTCTGAGCTGGATGGGTATGGTCGTGAAGCTTTCATCGTTCTTCTGAACGACATCATCAGCACAAACATTAGATAGAAGTGAAGTGTTCGAATTTCTCCATATGCGTTTCGAACACTTCATTTCTATCTGAAGTTTGTGCTGATGATGTTGTTCAGAAGAACGATCAAAGCTCAACGACCAAACCATCCAGCTCAGAGAACAAAACTCCATCAAAATCATCCACCTGAGCTACAAATCTTCTCCACCATCTCAAATAACTTCCTTTTTTTAAATCATTTATATTCGCTTTCTAAAATAATTTCCTCATTTACAATTATTGTTCTTTTTATATCAAATCAACGGATTTGTATAAAATTAAATTTTGAATGGAATAAAATGCATAAACATTGATACATTAAATACAAATAAACAAGAATCAACTATCACCATCACTACTACCGTCGTTATTATTATTATTGTTGTTGTTCGTAATGAACTGGAATATGGGTAAGGGAGGCAGTGGGGTAGCGAACGAGTGAACAATTAAGCGAAAATTAACAGTTATTTGTCATCAATACTTCTTTTTTTTCGTTGTTTCTTTGTTTACATTATTGTTGGTTTTGTCTTTCCCTTTCTATTTCTTTAAACACAAATGAGATATGAGCCATATAAATCATTTGATTTATGTGAGGGCTGGGATACAGCTCTGTTGCTCAGACAGAAGTAGGTAGTTTTCTTAAGAGGCCACATCCTAGGCCTTTGACCTAGAGGTTTAATTCACAAGGTAGTGAAGCAACGTAAGGAGATTCAGTCCCATGATAGCCAATGACAAACATTAGGTTCATAAGCTATTTGTTCCTTCAGGATACTGGACCTCATATACACCATTAATTTGAAATGATGGTTTTCCAACTCGTCTAGGTGAACTCTTCGTATCCACCAACTCGGTTAAATCGCCAAACATTCACTTTTCATCTTCTCAATTTCGTAAACAATAGTAATGCCGCAAGAAGGCAATGATTAGGACTTCCATGGCAGTGGTTGTATACACGTGGTCATGTGAGAGCATTACGAGAGGAAAAGCGGACTCTTTTCACTCTCAGCTGTATCAGGGCATCTGAGGACTTTTCTATCTAAACAAAATAAGTCTAAAACATTTCTTAGTTCTGTAATGCTTATAGTTGTAATCATACAGTTTAATACAATGGGTAATAATAAAAACGTTTTATAGAGGATGGTTGAAAGAATATGATCGTGATAAAAATTGTTTTCAGATGAAAGAAAGAAACTTAGTTCTTTCGTCTATCAGAAAAATTAAATTGATTTCTCAAAATATAACCTATTTACTAAGTATAATTTAGGCTTTAAGCCAATTTCTTTGCGTATCTCTCTTTGTGTGTGAGCACACTTGGTAAGTCGATGGGAGAGAGAGCGAGAGAGAGAGGGAGCGTAACTAGTTTCTTTCTCTTATGTTAGGCTTAAGTAAAGTAATACAAGTTACAATTATAAATATGTATTCAGTATTAAAAATAGAAACTGACTATAGCCAGAGATACAAGTCACTTCATCTACAAAAAAAACACACAACGAAAAACAGTACAAACTATGGACTAAGCACAGGTTTATTTAGATATGAGAAGGATTTTTATCTTAGACCTAATGGTGATAAATTTTTGAGATAAATCGTCTTTGGTACTTTGTAAATTAAACTTTAGAATCTTTTCATTCACACTTGATAAATATATTTTTTTATTATTTCCGAAGTTAAATTTATTGATTAGATGATTGGAAATAGTTGATATTAGCCTCTGGATCTAAGTGTTGTGTTGTTAGAGATTTGTCAACAAGATATGCCTGTAATTTTGAAGGAACTGGTGATCCCTAGGCGATCTGATATCATGTCATCCAATTTCACAGTTTAAGAAGTCACCGCTGAACTCTTCTGATTACAAATAGACTTTTATGGGAATGATTTTGTACGATCGATTAATTTTCGAGTACTGTAAAGTGTTTTGTTTGTCTTGTCTGTTTTAATGCTGATCGAGTTGTATCGATCGGGACACTATTTCAGAAGTTATTTTTAACTGACTTTAAAATAGGAACCCCAAAGTAATCGTAGAAATTTCTGGACTGTAAAGTGACAAACGACAGTCCAATAAAGTCTAAAATAGGACTAAAGAATATTTCAAATACAATTAAGTAGAATTTGATGGTGTATAGTTTTCGACTGTATGGAGCTGAAACTTGGAGAACTTCAACAACCACAATCAAGAAAGTACAAGTATTTATAAATAGCTGTCTACGCAAGATACTCAACATCCATTGGCCGGATACCATCAGCAATAGCCTTCTGTGGGAGAGAACAAACCAACTTCCAGCTGAAGAAGAAATTAGGAAAAGACGATGGAAGTGGATAGGACATACATTACGCAAATCGTCGAACTGCATCACGAGGCAAGCCCTAACTTGGAATCCTGAAGGGAAGCGAAAAAGAGGAAGGCCAAAGAACACATTGCGTCGGATAATAGAAGCAGATATGAAAGCGATGAATTACAACTGGACGGAGCTAGAAAGGATTGCCCAGGACAGGGTTGGATGGAGAATGCTGGTGAGCGGCCTATGCTCCTGCACGAGGAGTAACAGGCGTAAGTAAGTAAGTAAGTATAGTTTTCGACTTGATCTTTTATAGTTCACTGAGATGATGCTACTAGGGTGTCTTTAACAAAAACAAAACAACTGATCTGATCGTTATTCATTTTCTAATGCAAGTCTTATTATGACAAACCATCTTTCTAAACTAGAAAAACATCTTGAAGAATCCTAATATAAACCTTTTGTCTATCTAATAGTCAATATTACATAACATTCTTTTAGATTTCAAAATAAAATTCTCAGTATTTAAATTTATATCTAGGTGGTGGAGGAATTTGTAGCTCAGGTGGATGGTTTTGATGGAGTTTTGTTCTCTGGGCTGGATGGTTTGGTCGTGGAGCTTTCGTCGTTCCACAGAAAGCTCCATCTAGCTCACAGAACAAAACTTCATCATAATCATATCGAAGTCAATGTTTTCTTATCAGCTATTTCATAAATTTAACGATAAACTTATTTCAACAATCCAAAAACTGAAGATAATTTTATTATTTTTGATTGAGATTATGAACCGATTGATGTTAGACCACCATTGAAATCCTGGAAGCACTGGACGGCCGTTTCGTCCACAACCCCTAAACTGACAAATTTATTAGTTAAAAACACGAAGTTCAGCGAAGGGATCTCTTTTCAACGAATTTATTATCAAGCTGTACAATCTTACAATCGTTAAAGTACTAGTTCCGTGAGGAAATGTGAATAAGGAATAACTAAGATGATGTAA